TATATAGATACACTAGATATGAGACTTTCACTTCAGTATCAGTCTAGACATTGATCTACCTGTATGATGCCAGGTGAAAAACACGTTCGCATAGTGCCATTAAGCATCCTACATCGGTAGCCGGTAATTATCATGGAGAGAGTTACCAAGATCTATTAAAACACTACTTTTTCCAGTAACAATTTTCAATTTCAGACGACGATATTTTTGTTCATTGAAATTACCGACACTTCGCCAACTTGGAGTAGAATTGTTCCGAGGAGAACAGTCTTTAAGAGATTTATACGTAGATATCGTAATATGGAAATAACACATTGTAAATTGCAGTATTACAAGATGTCTCTGATGTACATTTATTTACTGGTGATTATAAGATACACCCAATGTGTTTCTGTAACTGATCTACAAGATTTTACAGTCTGTAAAGATCATTACGCTGATGTGATGGTCCAGGAAACTTGGACGATTCGGAACGTGTTCTACTGTTATTTTTACTGTGGAAGAAACTCCTGGTGTCGAGCTCTGACTGTCAAGTCTGACTCTGGTGTTGTCAAATGTACCTTTCATGAAGGAATTTTCGATGTAACTTGTAACAGTTTTCCACTGATGGATAACTTTGGTTATAGATTGTTGCTGAAGGTAAGGTTAACTTTACAACGGTGTTGCGCGTTCAAAGACGTTACATAAACAGAGACGTTATGTTTATATTTACAAAGCAGTAATAAAGTACAAAGACGTTATATTTACAAAGACGTTATATTTACAAAGACGTTCTATTTACTATTTATATGTACACAGCCGTTATATTCACAAAGAAGATTTATTTATATAAACAAAGACGTTATGTTTATATTCACAAAGACGTTATATTTATATTCACAAAGACGTTATATTTATATTTACAAAGCAGTTATATTTACAAAAACGTTATATTTACAAAGCCGTTATATTCACAAAGACGTTCTATTCACAGAAATGTTACATTCACGCATCTATACATAACGCCTTGCAGAGTATGTGTCAACGTTACATACGATATATGTAACAATGTAAATGTGACGTATCCCTGAGTGAAATGTCTTTGTAAATGCAACATCTTTTAGACGCAGCGTGATCTGTAAGTGCCAGCTCTGTATAAATGGAAAGCCTCTGTCAATGCAACTTATCTTTGATTGTGATTACATGTCATTAAATGCCAAGTTCTTTGTAATTTAATGTCTTCGTAATATAATGTATTCTTTCAATTCAATTTAAGGCTCTATAACGTTACTTCTATGTATTTCGTTTTAGAATGAAGAATATATACCCTCTGACGACAATGGTTGTTTAAACGGAGGAACGTTCAACAATGGTTGTACTTGCCGGAATGGTTTTACCGGAAACAATTGTGAGAGATATGTACATGGTAGGTCTTCAATTGGTCAATTTTGAGGCTTTACATCGATGAATCGGTACTGCTGGATTGTTTTTAAATTCTAACTAAACTAAATTTAACAGCACTTAGAAATATATATAGTTCTGACTTCATAATCTAATCTATAGCCTGTGCCTGTGCTTTCGTAACAATACTTACCTGCAATGTTACAACCTAAAATTCCTAACCATAGCGACCACCAGTTTGGTCCATATTAAGTATAGCGGTCATAAGTTTCGAACGTAGCTCTTGCGCAATAATACGTTGCATGTTCAAATTTTTGGACAGTTTGACTAACTGTCCAAATAACTATCAGAGGCTGGAATAGATTCAGACGTTTCGGTTTACGTTCGAATATGTCATCACGGTTGGAGACCGAATTGATTTATTGTTTACAAATGTATTTTCCAGATTGTAAAGAAGCGAAGGACGCGAATGTTTATCTGGCTTCGGGTGCTTTTACCAGCGTCCTTACCAAACCAACGACATCACAACTCGCATTCGTATCCGTTTGTAATGCGTTAGGCGAGACGGTCATCATGGTAAGGAACCCAAGGATATTTGATTTGAGATTTAACAGAACATGGAGTGAATATAAATACGCATTTGGTTTCAATTTGAACTTGTGGATGGGGCTAGAGTGGATGCATAAATTATCATCGTTCTATAACGGACCAAAGAAAGTACAATTGTATTGTAGTAATGGTGATACCAATGTTGGATTCAGTATCTTGTATGATTCATTTACATTGGATGACGAGTCCTTACTGTATAAAGCTACTGTTGGGGCTGTAAGTGATGCTTCCGGTGACACACTAGGCAGTCCGAACCTTCAACGTTTCTGTACGTATGACAGACCTTGCAATGACCTGCCGAACATCACTATGGGTGGTTGGTGGTATGTAACTAATTTAGAGAAAAACGCTCTGACTCATCCCGCAACTCATCTTTATTGTAGGAAAAACAATATTGATTTTGAAGCTCATAGTATTTCTATCGCCTACCAATATTGAAATATCTGATTGAAATGAGATTCCTGATGCTTCGTTTGAATTTGTGTCTTGCAAGTGAACAATAGTGTAGTAACGTTCAGAAAAAAACATCAGACGAAGCCTGATATTTTATTTTAATCAGATTGGCGTAATATTATCTGTTAGAAGGAGGATCATGAAAATGTTTCCGTTTTCATGCCAAATTCAACATCCGATATTGGTAATGCTATATCCGATATTGGTAATGCTATATCCGATATTGGCAATGCAATATCCGATACTGGTAATCCAATATCCGATATTGGCAATGCAATATCCGATTTTGGCAATGTAATATCCGATATTGGCAATGCAATATCCGATATTGGCAATTCTATATCCGATATTGGCAATTCTATATCCGATATTGGCAATGCTATATCCGATACTGGTAATGCAATATCCGATATTGACAATGCAATATCCGATATTAACAATGCAATATCCGATATTGACAATGCAATATCCGATATTGACAATGCAATATCCGATATTGGCAGTGCAATATCAAATACTGGTATTGCAATATCCGATATTGGTAATGCAATATCCGATATTGGCAATGCAATATCCGATATTGGCATTGCAATATCCGATATTGGCAATGCAATATCCGATATTGGCAATGCAATATCCGATATTGGCAATGGTATGTCCGATATTGACAATGCAATATCCGATATTGGCAATGGTATGTCCGATATTGACAATGCAATATCCGATATTGACAATGCAATATCCGATAATGGCAATTCTATATCCGATATTGGCAATGCTATATCCGATACTGACAATGCAATATCCGATACTTGTAATGCAATATCCGATACTTGTAATGCAATATCCGATATTAACAATGCAATATCCGATATTGGTAATGCAATATCCGATACTGGTATTGCAATATCCGATATTGGCAATGCAATATCCGATATTGGCAATGCAATATCCGATACTGCTAATGCAATATCCGATATTGGCAATGGTATATCCGATATTGGCAATGGTATATCCGATATTGACAATGCAATATCTGATATTGACAATGCAATATCCGATACTGATATTGCAATATCCGATATTGGCAATTCTATATCCGATATTGGCAATGCTATATCCGATACTGACAATGCAATATCCGAAACTGGTAATGCAATATCCGATATTGACAATGCAATATCCTATATTGACAATGCAATATCCGATATTGACAATACAATATCCGATATTGACAATGCATCAATAGATCTTGAATGATCATATATTGTTGCTTGTATTTATATCAACTCCGATTTTGATCGCTTTCGTGCGCGGTTTTGTAAAAATGTTATCCTAAATGAGGTATGCATATCTAAGGCAAGGGTTTTCAAAGCGATTAATATCCCACAAAGAAAATGACCCCAATGTTGAAAACCCCTGGTCTAAGGCTTCTAGCTATCTGTTTTTTACACAAGGAAAAAGGTCACTGACTCTTATAAACAATTATTTTATTAACTTGTACAAAATACCCACAGCATCCTATTGTACAATATAATGTAAAGTGTTTACAATACAATGTAGAATTATAACATGTAATGTATATCATGTACAATTTAACACACAATGATTACAATATTATGTAGAATGTTTACAGTATAATACAGAATGTTTACATTATAATATAAAGTGTTTACATTATAATATAAAGTGTTTGCAATATAATGTTATGTGTTTACAACACAATGTAGAGTGTATATAATACAATTTAGCATTATAAAGTGTAATGTAGATCATGTAGAATTTAATATAGAATATTTACAATATAATTGAGAGTGTAAACAATTTAATGTAGAGTGTTTACAATATAATTGAGAGTGTTTAAATCTTATGTACAATGTTTACAATATAATGTAGAGTGTTTACAATATAATGTTGAATGTATATAATACAGTTTAGCATTATTAAGTGTAATGTAGATCATGTACAATATAATTTAGGGTGTTAACTATTCAATGTAAAGTGTTTACAATACAATGTTAAGGGTTTACAATATAATGTAAAGTGTTTACAATACAATTTAGAATTATCAAATGTAATATAGATCATGTACAATATAAAACAGAATGTTTACAATATAATTGAGTTTGTTTACAATATAATTTAGATTGTTTACTATATCATTTAGATTGTTTACAATATAATGTAAATTGTTTACAATATAATGCAAATTGTTTACAATATGATGTAAAGTGTTTACAATATGATGTAAAGTGGTTACAATATAATGTAAAGTGGTTACAATATGATATAAAGTGTTTACAATATAATGTAAAGTGTTTACAATATAATGTAAAGTGGTTAAAATATTTTATAGAATGTATATGATACAAATCATGTACAATATAATACAGAATGTTTACAATATAATTTAGAGTGTTTACAATATAATGCAAATTGTTTATATTATAATATAAAGTGTTTACAATATAATGTAAAGTGGTTACAATATTATACAGAATAGAATGTTTACAATTTATTTAGAATGTTTACAATTTAATGTAT